TTTTCTCCTGTTCTGAGGCTATCTTAAATCATCCAGCTGAGCGGCGAAGGTGCGCTTGCGAGCCTTCGCGCGGCCCATTCCACGGTGGTCAGTTGGCGAGGAAAGGGAACTAATGTTTTATTTGATTTAATGATGAAATTAAAAATAAGAAAAAAAAATACAAATGATAAAAGGGAATTAAAACGACTAATTATTTTAAAATTTAACATTTTCTGATCAATCCCGGCCTTGTTGATTTCAACCGATATTTTTCTATTTATTTTCCTTTAGATCTAAACGGAATTTCTCCATTTAATTATTCCCCGTCGATTCAAATCGATATTAACTACTTATTATCCCACCCCGATTTAGTCCAAATTTTCCCTGCGTGTTACCCTTGTTATAGCCCTCTTATATTAGCGTGCATACGGGGGGGGGTTGACTGCCATGTGGCATCGAGTGCTCGCCACGGGTTACTACATTGATTGGTGGAGGTATGACAACAGGACGGCGGTAAGGGTCTCAGGGAAGCAACACCCAACTATGACAGGTGTGTGGCCAGCAATGGTACTCGCCACTGCAGTTCGAGACGATTACTTCAGGTTCGGTGCTGGCACGAGACTTGAGTGGGTTGGTACGGTCGCTGGTTGGGCACTGGCTGGGTGTTGGAACAACATCCTACGGTTGACCCTATTATTTTTTGTATGATCACTGGACCGGCACTGGTCTGGTGCAGTTGCTGGTTCGGCACGGCTACAGTTCTCTGCAGTTTGAAACAATTATCTTTGGTGCAGTTTCTAGTTTGCCCCTGGTATAGCAACGGTACAGGCCGCTGCAGTTCGGTGTTGATGTTTGGTACGGCTACTACAACAGCGACAAAACAAGTTACTACGGTTTGTTGCGGCTGCTGGATCAGAACTGGAATGGTTCTCAGTGGTCTGATACTGTTATTCCTTGGTACGGTGTGGGTCGTGGGGTTAATCCACTTGATAATGACTGAGGACCCTCGGTACCTGCGGAACTGCTGTTGCGGGTGGAAGGTGTTCGAGGCCTGAGGCTGAAATTTCGTTTGTCCCGTGGGTAGAGGCCGCTGCAGTTCGGTGTTAATGCTTGGTACGACTACTAGAACAGCGACAAAACAAGTTACTACAGTTTGTTGCGGCTGCTGGATCAGAATTGGAATGTTTCTCTGTGGTCTGATACTGTTATTCCTTGGTACGGTGTGGGGCGTGGGGTTAATCCACTTGATAATGACTGAGGGCCCTCGGTACCTGCGGAACTGCTGTTGCGGGTGGAAGGTGTTCGAGGCCCGAGGCTGAAATTTCGTTCGTCCCGTGGGTACAGGCAGGCCTGTCCTCGATTCCGGGCGGGCACTGGCTGGCAAGGGGCTGATGCTTTCCCTGGGGCCAATGCCACCTGGAGCAATATAGAGAGACCAAGACCAACACATGGGGGAGGATTCGAGCAGAGCGATACCGAACAGTGCGCCTGGCGTGTGCAGCCCACCCATGACTTGTGAAGGGCGAAAAGGCGTCTCGAACAGAGCTTTGATGTCTCTATCCGTGAACGCGAGTGTGTCGGAGGTGAGCTGATGGGCAGAGCGGAGAGAGGCGATTGTGGATTTTGTGCCTGACGTCCGCATCGCTCGCGTGTGAGCGTTGCTCGGGTTAGACTGTGAATAGTGTCCGATCTCCGAGAAGAGGGCTCGCGCAATGAGGGCAAGCAGAGACTGGTATATGGAAGTTGTCAGGGAAGCCCTCCTCTAGTGGGAAGAATGTTTTCCACTAGATGCTTAAGACGTGACTGATCGCCGTGGATACGGCCTGAAAAACGGGACGTACGGACTGAGCAGTCTCCAAGAGAGCACACTGAGTACTGCGGAACCGAGGCTAAGATCTGAAAGGGGGAAAAGGAGGCGGGTAGGCGGGCGCGCCCGGTGTACCTAGTGCAAGAGAGCTGAAGACAGAGCAAGGAGGCCCGTTTCAAAGAGGGAAGAGATGTCCCTCTAACTAAGACGATTGGAGGGGGGAATTATGACAGAGCAACACTTGGCAGCGCCCTGATGTAAACAGAGCACATCTTGTTGATCCGAGTTTGCAAGCACCCATTGGCAAATGCGAGTGACAGAACCCATGTCAAGGTCGTGCGGGAAACAATCGATGGGCTATGGTAGGGTGTTCGAGGAGGAGCGTTTCCCGTACAGTGTGCCTGGTGCACGGTGAACTCCTAGGACATGCCCAGGTAGCGAGCTCCTACGCGCACCTCTTCAAGCCCGTGAGCTCTGCGTGCGCGGCGGCAAGCTTGCTGTGGAACAAGCAACCAGCGGCGACAGACGATGACGGGCAGGGCATCGTTCCGCTCTGATGCGGAGTTGGGGGCTTGATTGTTCCCTTTTCGCGTGCGTGAGCAAGGGGTGGGAAGGAACAGTGATCAGGCATGCGTATTGGCGGCTCTCGGGTTGCTTGATCCCATGAGTGTGCGAGAAATCGATGATCAGTGCTTCGGTATGTGAGTGTGAAAAACAAAAATTAGTATCCCTCTTTCCAAGTAACCGTACCAAACCCGAAGGATGATCAGGTACGTTTGAATCCAAACAATCATGAATGAGTAAGGGCGTAATCGTGCACTGAACAATGGACGAGAACTCTACTGCGCTCGACATTGAATTTAAATGTGCCTCAGGGGTTGCTTGACAGAGCGGTGTCATCGAGCGTCCAATCACGAGCCGTTGCCCGAGTCCCAAGTGACCTGAGAGATGTCGCATGGTGCGCCTGCACACGGGCCCCATTTGAGGGGCCCGACAGTTGCTGAGGGGCCCCCAGGCCGCGTACCATACAGCACGCGCCCTGGAGGCCCACGGCGGCCCTACAGGCCCTAGGTAGCACACTAGTTAGAATAGGTTTAGTTTACTTACCTTTCTGTGTGTGTGCTGTCTTACTTTGTCTGTCAGGTGCCGTTTCGGACTTGCAGCCCCAAGGCCGGACCTTGGAACTGGGTACACCGGAGGCAGGCCCGAAACGAGGCCAGGTGCATTTTGGCACCAAACCAGTAGGTACAGGCGTCGTTTCGGTCCTACAGGTCCAAAGGCGACGCCTTTGGCTAGGTCCACAGGTACCGGGCCGATTTTAGGCCAGGCGCATTTCTGCGCCTTGCTGCATCAGCAGCGCGGTCTGGATGTCCGGTAGGGACCCAGACCAGCTGGGCCATTTTCTTAGGCCAGCATCAGGTAGGCCCAGCCGGCCCAGCACTACAAATAGTTGGGCAACGGCTGGGCAGGGACAGTTCGAGTAGCTCACTTCTGGAGCGACACGCTGCTGGTTGAAGCAGCGTTATTCTGCGCCAAGGTACGAAGTAGGGAGTAGCGCAGTAGGTAGTGGAGAGAGGCGGAGGCCTTACCTGCGAGCGACGAACTTACCTGGCGCCATAGCTAGGACTCCGCGTGGTACCTGCACACGTCGACGACCACAGTCAGTACGGTGACAACTACCTGCAGGTGAGATAGCAAGGAGGACGTCATCTTCTTCTTCTTCCTCCTCCATCTCTCTCTCTCCTGTCTCCTTCTTCTTCCTCTTTCTTACCTTCTTCTTCATCTATGAGAGTCAGAGAGACCATCGGTAGGGAGTACAGGCAGAGGTTACGTTGGGCACATTGCCCAGGATCTGATTCGACATTCTGGGACAGACATTGATTGGACACTCGGCAAGGGACTATTTTTGGGACTTCGCTATTGCAATCTTGGTCTACTCCCTCGTCTCTTTCTCCTTCGTCTTGTCCCCTTTCCCCCATCTCTCATCCGTGGTATCTCCTCATGTATGTGTACGAAGGAGGGACCTTTCTTCCGTGATTGTGGTCCCTCCTCCCTTCTCACATGTGTGATGTATGATGGATGTCGGGTCAGTCCAGATCAGATCATATCTTCTCTTCTAAGTCTTCCACTGTGCCACTTTGTGCCATCTTGTATGTATTCGGAATGTACATTGATTGTTGATGCTACGCTGACCTTGCATTGTCCATTTCAGTCCTTTTCATCACATTGTGGATCCTTGGCTCCCTACACATTGTCCCACTGGGCATGCGTCAATTTGGTATCGGAGCCCTGCTTGTGAATCAGGACAACCTGATCTGACACAAGCGCGGGGACAATCGAAGATCGATTGATTGATTGATTGATTAATCATTGATTGATTGATTGACTGATTGATTGATTGATTGACTGATTGATTGATTGATTGACTGATTGATTGATTAGGACACTAATTAGTCCCCAAAGATCGCGGATTTTGACCTAACTGCCGAAATCAAAAATTTTCTTTTTTGGGATTTCATTTTCCCGCAATTTTCATTTGTGGAAAATTGCAATAGCGTAGCATCTAAAAGTTTCCTTATTTTGGTCTTGCTCGTCCAAAAATATTACAATTTTTTTTTTCGATTCATCTATTCCTTCGAAAATTCCCGTTAATTCGAAATTCCATTTTTTTTTGTAATTCGAACTTATGTTCTTTTATCCACGCATTTCGGGAGTAACGAAAATTTTGAAATTTGACCGTTATTCCCAGATTAGGAAATTATTTTTTTAAGGGTAAATTGCTCTGCAGTCATTTCTATTCAAACCTGCGCATACTCTCACTTAAGAAATTCCGAATTTTTTTTGTTTCGGAATTCTCCGAACTTGCGGAATTTTTTTATTTTYGCAGTTCAGTTATTTTGATCATCTCCATTCGTTATTATTTTTCATGGCAGTCTGAAATTCAAAAGTTTTTTCACATTACCTGTTGTGGGGAAACATAGGAGACCTACCGAACTTGCAATCGAGAATTTTTTTAATTATATATTTTTATTTATTTTCTCGAAATTTTTGCAAAGTTCCAACTTTTCATTTTTGATTAGTGGCTCCTTATCTGGGCAATTCACTCGATTTCCCCACTTCCCACCTCTCCCTCCCAACTCCTCTTCTTCTTGCTCAACTGCCCATCAGTTCTGGCTACAGCCTTGGTAAGTTTGAAGGCCACGTCAGCTGTCCGCGGTACATGACCCTGCTCACTCGTTCACAGACAGCAGGGATGGATCAGAAGGCCGGCGAGACTGACGAAGCCTATGAGACACGATTGGCGGCCATCATGGCCGAAAGCAAGCAACGGGCAGAAGCATCAGCAGCAGCACGGAAGAAGAGGGAGGCAGAGGCAGCGAGGCTGCGTCGGGTGGCCGAAGATCAACGGCAGAAGCACGCAGCAGCAGCAGCAAAGGCCGTCGATGAAGAACGCGTACGGCGGCGAGAGATTCTCTTCAAGGAGGAAACTGCATTACTCGCACAGGCCAAGGATTGGCAGAAGGAGGCCGAGAATGGAGACTCCGTTGACTACGGGACAAGGATTGCTCTCTTGCTCAACCGCGTCACGGACCTCCTCGCTACTTGCATCGCACAGCAGGAGGACATTCACTCTCTCGACCACGCCAATCAGACGCTGACTAAGCGCATACAGCAGCTGGAGCAGCGACCAGTCGCCACCTCCAGCACCGGCCCCTCCGACCTCGTCGACCGCGTCAACGTCTTGGAGATGGACGTGGGAACGCTCAAGACCGAGACACAGCGACTGGACCAGCAGGTGGGGGCAGCAGCCACACCGAGCTCACCGCCTCGTGAGAGCATCCCCAAATTTGAGGGGCTCCCGATCTTCTGTGATGCATCGAAGACGGAGCCTATACCTTGGTGGCGCCAATTTGAATTAAAGCTGGATATCCACCATGTCGTCCACACAAACCGGCACACATACTTGTACTCCCGGTCAGGAGGTGCGTGCCAGGCATGGCTGGACAACATGTTGTCCGCACATGCATGTACAGTCTCCGAGTTACACAACTTCATCACCTGGGCCGATCTCACGACAGCATGGAAGAAGCGTTTCGGGCGATGGACAAGCTGCTGGCATTCTCACAGAACAGCATGCCAAGTGGAGACTGGATATCTGAGTTCCAACGCCTGGCAAGCACGCCCAAGCTGCCACTGAACTTCGACGACATCAAGCTTTACTTCATCAAGAGGTCGTGCCCAGCGTTGCAAAATGCATTAACTCAGGTCGCTGAGAACCTCAACACAAGTGAGGAACTCTTCAACAAGGCCGCGCAGATCATTGTGATGAACTTGGAGGCCAAGAACATTGGTCGTTCGTCGACAGTCGGCCAGGGCGCGTATCAGCATCGGCCGAAAGTGGCCGTGGTCGCGACAGCAACGCCAAGCGACCCTTCAACTTCAAACGAGGCTGCCTCGTCTGACGAGGGAGACAAACTAGCAGCTGCCCAGAATGGTGGCCGCCCCGCCAAAGGACGAGGACGCGACAAAACGAAGACAAACACCACTTCTTCTGGGCCCGGACAAGCAGCTCCAGCTCAAGAACCTTGGGCACAATACGGTTTGACGGAGCGCGGGTATCGCATCCGCAGCAAGTACTGTTATTGTTTGTGGTGCAACAGCGCGGCACATGAAACCGTGAACTGTCCCACTAAGGCCAAGGGCCCCGCTCAGTCGGGAAAGTGAGCAGCGCCGAGAGTGATGCGACGACACTCTCAACGCCTTCGGAACCGGTTGCCGTACGGGTAACCTCCCTCGGTTCCGGGGCACATGCGGAAGTCGTAAGTCCTCCCATTCTTCATTCTTTTGAGGACTATGCTGCCCGGCTCGTACCTTCGCTGAATTCACAAGCCCAAGGACAGGATGTATGTGCGGTTTCTTCTCCGATTGGAAGCAGCAGCTTTGAGTCGTCTTCAAGTGGACCTTCACGGGATTCGCCGCGCGCGTTCAACATGGAGCACTTGGACCCGTCGACGCCCGAGGATTTTGCATGGCTCCCTCTCCCTTCCACCGGCTGCTTACCGGAGCCGCAATGCGCAGCTCTTAGCGCTCATCTACATACATACCTAGCCTTCTATGCACCACCAACTTCGCCAACGGAGGACGAAGTCGCGGTGGTGGACATTCTTGCGTACGTTAGCAAGGTGGCCCGCGAGTTTCGAACGCAACGGTACGATGACAACAACGCACCACTCCTTTATGTCCGCATCCAAGTTGGGCAAGCGTCATGCAGCGCTTTGCTGGATAGCGGCGCGACTTGCAATTTCATTAGCCAACCCTTTATGCAAAGGGCCGGCCTTGGACCACAAGTTCGAAGGAAGGCACACCCTACGGCGATCAAGTTGGCGGACAGTAGGACGCAACAACTCCTTGACCGCTACATCGAGGCCGTACCGGTCTATTTCGCACCTCATGGATGCGAACCGGTGACGTTTGACGTCTTGGACACGGACTTCGACATCATTTTGGGCATGCGTTGGCTTGCCAGTGCGGATCACACGGTCAACTTCCATCGGCGCACACCTACGGTCCGCGACGCGTTTGGCGCCGAAGTACCATGTACCATCCCTCTTCCGCACCCTTCGATCCGGTGCCAAGTTGTAACAGCCAAATCTTTTCGGGCCACTTGCGCGTACGAGCGGACCGACGAGATAGGCCTATGTTTTCTTCGCGCCATCGCGGCAGCCGAATCTCAACCCACGGACTTGTCCTCGAACCCCCGTGTGGTACGGTTGCTGGACGAATTCGCCGACATCTTCGAGTCACCTACCGGCGTGGTGCCGGATCGGCCAATCTCCCACGAGGTCATTCTCGAGGTCGGTGCCGTGCCGCCGAAAGGTTGCATCTATCGCATGAGCGAGGAGGAACTCACAGTACTCCGCGTGCAACTCGACGATTTGTTGGACAAAGGCTGGATCCAACCTAGTAGCTCACCCTATGGTGCGCCTGTTCTCTTCGTGCGGAAGAAGAACAAGGATCTTCGCCTAGGCATCGATTACCGCAAGCTCAATGCACAAACCGTCAACAACGTGGGACCTCTTCCTCGTATTGACGACCTTCTGGAGCGTTTAGGCGGGGCAAATTTTTTTTCCAAGCTGGATTTAAAGTCGGGGTATCATCAAATTTCGATACGCCCGCAAGATCGCTATAAGACCGCGTTTAAGACACGGTACGGGCATTTTGAGTGGGTCGTCATGCCTTTCAGACTCACCAATGCCCCGACGACTTTTCAAGCGGCGATGACCAACAAGTTTCGTGCAATGTTAGACCGGTTCAAGCGGCGATGACCAACAAGTTTCGTGCAATGTTAGACCGGTTCGTGCTGGTCTACTTAGACAACATCCTCGTCTATAGCCGAACCTTGGAGGAACAACTCGAGCACCGTGGACGAGTGCTGGAGACGCTCCATCGCGCCGAGTACAAAACCAACCGCGACAAGTGCAAGTTCATACGTCAAGAGTTGGAATACTTGGGCCATTTCATCACTCCACAGGGCATCAGTCCGTTGTCGGACAAAATTCAACCAAGATTGGCCGGAGCCGCGGAACGTCACGGATGTCCATTCGTTCCTTGGCCTTGCCGGCTACTTCCAACGTTTCATCAAAGGATACTCGAAGATCGCGGCCCACTTATCCAAGCTTCAATGTGAGGACCGACCATTTGACTTCGGGACGGATGCGCGGGGATCATTTTTGGCCCTTAAGGCCGCATTGGCATATACGACCCGCTATTGCCAACGCGCGTCACTACGGATGCGTCCGGCTATGGCATCGGTGCCGTCCTCGAACAACATGATGGCGTGGACTGGCACTCGGTCGAATACTTCAGCAAGAAAGTGTCGATCGTGCATTCAATCGATGATGCACGCAAGAAGGACCTTCTCGCCTTCGTCCACACACTCAAGCGGTGGCGGCACTTCCTCCTTGGTCGACGCCAATTCCGATGGGTAACGGACAACAATCCGTTGGTCTTTTACAAGACCCAAGACACCGTTAACAACATGATCGCCCGTTGGATGGCATTCATCGACCAATTCGACTTCTTTCCAGATCATATTACAGGGAAGTCAAACCGTTTTGCGGATGCTCTTTCACGGCGTCCGGATAACTGCACCACCGTCTACTCGACCTTCGAGATAGAGGATGACTTGCGGGACAGTTTCATCCGCGGCTATCAAGCCGACCCCGAATTTTGCGACAAGTACACAAATTGTGCCTCTCCCAGTCCGGCGCCTTCGCACTATCGGATCCAAGAGGGATACTTGCTCGTCCACTCGCGGGGGAAGGATCTACTTTGTGTGCCGCAAGATTCATACTTGCGCACGAGGCTTCTTGGCGAGTTCCGCGACGCCCTCGCCACTGGACACTTTGGAGTCAATCGCACGATTGGCCGACTCCGTGAGCGCTTTTGGTGGCCCGGTCTTCTCGACAACGTCACTCGCTATTGTGAGTCATGCTAGGTTTGCAGACGTTGCAAACCCCGCAATCATCGTCCGTACGGCAAACTGCGACCATTACCGGTCCCCTTGCGCCAAAGGGAAGCAATTGCCATGGACATTACCGGGCCGTTCCCCAAGCACAAGACGGGTGTGGATGGGATTCTCACGGTGGTTATCTGACTCACCAAGTTTGCCATGTTTTTGCCTTGCCGCTATCACGCCAAGGCACCGGAGTTGGCCGAGGTTCTCTACGCCCGTTGGATTCGAACCAAGGGTTACCCCAAGGAAATCGTCTGCGACCGCGACACTCGGTTCATGTCCGACTTTTGGTTGGCGCTCATCAAACGATGGGGCTCATCCCTCAAGCCAAGTTCGGCTCGCCACCCCCAAACCGATGTCCAAACGGAGAGGGCACATCAGACCGCACAGGTCCTTCTTCGCTCTCATCCGTCCCGACCAAAAGGATTGGGTCAAGCGGCTGCTGGATGTCGAGTTGGCATACAACTCGTCCATCCATCCGGCTATCGGGACGTCACCCTTCGAGTTCGAGCATGGCTCGCCGGTCAATTCTCCGCTGGACACAATCATCCCACGGGCGGCCGAGAGCGACGACCATCTTCTCTTCATTCGTCGGATGCAAGAGCTTCTTGTCAAGGCACTCGACCAGATGGCAAAGACGCGGCAACGTATGCGCCAACAGGCCAACCGCCAGTGTCTTCCTTGTTCGTTCCGCGCCAGCGACCTCGTATGCGTTTCCGCTGCGGAATTCAGCCTCGAAAAAGATCTCTCTCGCAAGCTCCTTCCGAAATGGATGGGGCCCTGGCCGATCGTGGCACCCGCTGGGGACGCACCCGAAGGACCTTCATTTATCATTCAGGTGCCCGCCCACTTGCCCGTCAACCCGGTCTTTCACTGTTCCAAGTTGGCTCTCTACACGCCAACAGAACTTGACGACTTTCCCGAGCGACGATCGCAAGACCCACCCTCAATGGACGGTTTTCAAGAGGTTGGCGACATCATATCCCAGCAACGTTACGGCAACAGGCCGACCGAATTCTTGATCCATTTTGCATATTGCACCCATAGAGCTAACAGATGGTTGACCCGCGCGGAACTTCAAGCAACAACTCCCGACGTCCTCGCACGCTACGAACGCAAGTTGCAAGGCAAGCCGGCATCTTCGGCTCCACGCCGCACCCGCGTCCAAGTTCCACCTTCAGATCGTCAGCTTCGCCCTCGACCCGGCTCGACTTCATAAGGAGGGGGGGGTGTTGCATGCTATGCCTGCACACGGGCCCCATTTGAGGGGCCCGACGGTTGCTAATTGTATTATAATACAATTATTACTATAATTTATTCTCAATATTAATTACGATATAATTATTATTAATTAGGATATAATTAAAAAAAAAAAAAATGAATAGAGATAATACTATCGAGAAAGAACGTCCTTTAGGCCAGGCGCATTTCTGCGCCTTGCTGCATCAGCAGCGCGGTCTGGATGTCCGGTAGGGACCCAGACCAGCTGGGCCGTTTTTTTAGGCCAGCATCGGGTAGGCCCAACCGGCCCAGCACTACAAATAGTTGGGTAGCGGGCTGGGCAGGGACAGTTCGAGTAGCTCACTTATGGAAGGACACGCTGCTGGTTGAAGCAGCGTTATTCTGCGCCAAGCTACGAAGTAGGAAGTAGCGCAGTAGGTAGTGGAGAGAGGCGGAGGCCTTTCCTGTGAACGACAAACTTACCTGGCGCCATAGCTGGGGCTCCGCGTGGTACCTGCACACGTCGACGACCACAGTCAGTACGGTGACAGCTACCTGCAGGTGAGATAGCAAGGAGGACGTCATCTTCTTCTTCTTCCTCCTCCATCTCTCTCTCTCTCCTTTCTCCTTCTTCTTCCTCTTTCTTGCCTTCTTCTTCATCTATGAGAGTGAGAGAGACCATCGGTAGGGAATACAGGCAGAGGTTACGTTGGGCACATTGCCCAAGATCTGATTCGACATTCTGGGACAGACATTGATTGGACACTCGGCAAGGGACTATTTTTGGGACTTCGCTATTGCGATCTTGGTCTACTCCCTCGCCTCCTTCTCCTTCATCTTGTCCCCTTTCCCCCATCTCTCATCCGTGGTATCTCCCCATGTATGTGTACAAAGGAGGGACCTTTCTTCCGTGATTGTGGTCCCTCCTCCCTTCTCACATGTGTGATGTATGATGGATGTCGGGTCAGTCCAGATCAGATCAGATCAGATCTTCTGTTTTAAGTCTTCCACTGCGCCACATTGTGCCATCTTGTATGTATTCAGAATGTACATTGCTTGTTGATGCTACGCTGACCTCGCAT